ATGCAGTACCTTGTGACCATTATCTCTGGCTACATACTACTCCTGATTTAAATCTAACTCTTTAAAATCTGCTCCATTCATTCTGCCAGCACCTGTAGTCCCCACCTTGTAGACTGATGGTTATTGATCTTGAGCCAGAGGCACCATTTCGAGATCCCCATCCCTATCCATTTGGGAGAATTCTTTATACCTTCTCACCACCTTTCTCCAAACTTTTGGTTTTTCACATTTAACTGTTTCCCTCGGCTTCTGGTTTTTTATTTTCTGTTCCTGTAAAGGTCATGTCAGTTAATTGCCCTTTTGCTGTACTCACTATCCCTGGGATTCCCCAGACCAGAACTCCCATCTCTGATCAACAAACCCTTATATCAATTGTCTTCCTTGTTAAACAGTAAGTTTTTTGTGGGGCAGGCACTGCCTTTCTGTATTTGTGACCCTAATATGTGACACTTCTTGGCGCATAGTAAGGAAACAATAATAAACAAATCAAAAATAAATAAATAAATAATGGATTTTCATTCATTCATGTTAACTCTAGCCTTCCAGGCCTTTCTTACTCTGTATTTATGTTGTTTTAATATTAGATTGGCTTTTTAAATGCTAGAATTTAAACAGTTTCTTCTAAGAGAGTTGTTTACACCAAAAACAGTTGGCATGCTTTTTTTTCCCTTACTTCTCAATATATGTAATTAGTTAAAATTATTTCCAAGAGACTTAGCTAAACCCTGTTGATAGGTTTTATAGGGAAGTTGCTTTCAGAGCCATTACAGTTACACTTTGACTGAGGCAACTCACTTGTCTTCCTGATGTCATGGTCCTGTTCGAAAACAAAAGACAGACCACGCCCACAGTTACAACTCTAATTTGCTTCCTAAGGGTACCAGACAGGATGAAGCTGGGCATATTCTACATGAAAGATCCGTGAGGCATCTTTTCTTGATGTTCTCACAGCATAAATACTTTTAACCACCCCAGGAAAGCATTAGTGAGCATAGGGAAAGCCACCCTAAAAAAACACAGTGAAATCCTTAGGAGTTCCTTACTCTTAAGTAAAAAAATCTAGTTTATTATGTCAGTAATATGATTCTTTGAAGCTTTGGGTCATTTTAATTAGATTTTGCAAAAGACTAGACATTATTGAGGTTTTATATATATATATATATATATATATTTATACACATATATATATATTTTAAATAAATATTTTAAATTTCACTGGTATAGGCAGATTCCAGATGATGAAATTCCTTCTACTAATGCTTGTTTGGTATGTTCTCTGCAAAGTAGTTCTGTGTGCATTTATGAATTGCCTGTTATAGAAGAACCTTGGCAACTTAAAACAGTTAACTTTTAAATAGACCAGGCTTGAACTGGAGTTAGCTGGTTCTTTGTGTTGTGCTTAGTGGGGTGAGCTTTTCAAAGTGGAAATGCAAATAAACACTAAACTTTATCAGACATTTAAAAAAAATCAGTTTCTTCCTTTCCCCTAGAAACACCTAGATATTGATGATTCAGTTTAGATTATATGCCCCAGGCAAGCAAGCCAAAAATTCTTATGGGAGAAGTTGGTCATTTGTGGCAGGGAGAGGCTCACAAAGAAGGCATATTTGGAATTACTTAGAATTGTAGGGCTAGATAACTCTTAATTAAAGTGACTTGGCCTGTAATTGTGACTTAATATTCCCCACCTGCAATAGAGAATTTATCTTGCCCAGTTATTAACATTTGTAATTTTCCTTTTCACCAGGGCCAACAAGGTGAATATTGAAAAATTCTAACATTCCTATCAAATGGACATAGTGTATCAGCCCCACTTGTATACCAGGGGACTGTTTCACAAAATAGAAACCTTCCCCTCACCCTTTCCCATTTTAGATAAATACAAGGGTAGAGAGAAACTAACTAAAAATCCTGGTGGGAGAAGAGGGGCCAGGCCAAGCCACTTTTGATTACTCAATAGGTAATGAAAATCTCTCTTTTCTGAATAAGTGTGAAGGTGGATAAGAAAAAATGTAGGGAAGGAGCAGCTTTCAAACTTGCTGAAGATGGGGATCACTCACTAATAGGACTGAATACTGGACAATTAAGTCGAGCATATTGAAAATTTCTTAGGAAGGATTCTCTTCTCTAACCTTACCTAGCATCTGAGTGGTTCTGTGGCCTGGGACACCCCGTAGAATGGAAACATAGAATTGTGAAATAAAGGCCTGTCCCCAAGCTAAGGCGTGTGCTTGATACTGCATGACCTAGGGTTTACCCCAAGCACCCCCAGAGGTAGTTTTGGGTCTGGTTTAGGATTTCCTGAGGATCCCCCCACCACCCACTCTGAATGAACTTTGCTTTGCTTCCATCAGTAAGCTAGCTGACCTCCACTGCTGCAGGACTGTGCTGACTTTGATAGAAGGCTGAGTTTTTAGATGGAGGTCAAAGGCTCCGGAGGACTGAAAACTCAGTCCTTTCCATCCTCTTTTCCTTCAGTGGGGACTGGGGATAACTGGATCACACGTCTGAAATCTTAAAACTGTGCCCAGTTCTTCACGAGGAGCCAACTATTGGTGTCGACTAACAACTTGAGGAGCTTTTTCTTCCAAAGATACTCCGGAAGTGAGGACTGAGTCTGAGTTGAGACAAAATTGGCAATAGGGCAGAGAATTAAGAGGGGATTCTCCAGCTTCAGCCAGAAAGACAGGATTGAAGTTTATTAAGGAATTAAGAAATGTGTAGAGCTGGCTGACTTACTTATTGAATTGAATTCTATAGCCATATTGCTGGCCTTGACTCTTCTGATGAATGTTACTACCATATGAAAGGAGAAAGACCATTTTCCCTTTTTCATTCAAGATTTTAGGCAAAAATAATTTATAATTTTAACTTGTTAAGATGGGATGGGTGGGTTGGGGAGAGGGTGGGGAGATCACACTTCAAATGGCCCAAGGCTGTTTACATTTTAAAATACTAAACTTCTCTTTTCTCTCATTTTTCTGTTCCTCCAAAGACCAGAAGCTTGTGACTTTTCTCTCTGGGTACTTTGTGACGGTGGCCAAATTTAAAGGATGAGTAAGGACCTTCAGATATCTGGGCCTTCTCAAATTCTTATGGGAAGTGAGGGTTGTTACAAATAAATACATACACAATAGACACATTTGTAATTATTTTGAGGGAGAGATATTTGTTTTACTTGGTGTTCCAGGGGCCTGAAATCGAAAGATGTTACTAGTGCTAACACTATTTGCAAAAATATTTTCGAGTCCCATTTCCTGAATGAAGCTGTGCCAAGTATGTTACAGGGCAAATAAGATAAATTAGATGTCTGCCTTTTCAGGGCTTACCATTTAAGATAAATAGGACTGACCCAGAAGAAAATGCTTGTGATATAAAAGATTATTGAACAGTAAATATTAAATGAATACTTAGTTAAGCTTAAATATTTGTAGTTTGTGTAGTTGGTTTTGTAGGACTAGATTATATGCCTCAGAAATATGGGGATTTTATATCTTTGCATTTCCTCTAGTTGGGAGGACAGGTCATTGCATATAGCAGACATTTAAAAGTCTTTGAATCAATGAAAATGGGTTTTTTCACTGTTGGGGCAAAAACTACAGTTCCTTTGTGTGGATTAGTTTCAAGTAATAAAGTATTTAATTTTAAATCTCTAATAACAAAAGCCTTTATTGCCTCTCTTAGTCCACTAAGAACATGAAATCTTTGTATCACATTGCATGGTGAAAGTTAGATTTTTAATGGATTCTCCTGTAAGCTGAAACCCTGATTAGGTCTGTGGAGTAGGTGAGTAGAAATCAAGGGACCTTATTTGGTAGTTTTCTTATAGCTACAGTTTCCCATCTGTGAAATGGGATAAATAACCCCTGGCCTCTCAATAAAGCTCTTGTGAAGGTAAAACTATGCATTTGAACTCTGAGAAATGGTTCTATTTTTTTCCTTTTTTAAAAAACTTGCATTCTATCTTTTGTTTTTACATCGTCTTCATATTCTAAGTATCTCCCTAATCACGCATCTCTTGTAATAAAGAGTAAAAAAGAAGGAAAAATGCAGTTGAGCAAAACTAACCAACATATGAGCCAATTCTGACAATATATGCAGTATTCTATTCCCACAGTCCTCCACATCTGCATAGAAGGGAAAGAGATACTTTTTTCCTCCCTTTTTCTCCAAGGTCAGGTTTGGTCATTATAATTTCACTGTTCAGTTTGGGGTTTTCTTTCAGTTTACATTGTTAAAGTCATTGTGTATATTTTTTATTGGTTTTACATGCATTATTCTGAATCATTTCACTTAAGTCCTTTTCTCTGAATTCTTCATATTTGTCATTTCTTATAATGTAGTAATATTCAGGTATATTCATGTGCCACGATTTGTTTAGCCATTACCCAGTTGATGGAAAAGACTCTTTTTTTTGTTTGCTTTTTGGTGAGGCAATTGGCGTTAAGTGACTTGCCCAGGGTCACACAGCTAGTAAGTGTCGAGTGTCTGAGGCAGGATTTGAACTGAGGTCCTCCTGACTCCAAGGCCAGAACTCTATCCACTGTGCCGTCTAGCTGCCCCCAAAAGACTCTGTTTTCAAAATAAAATGTGCTTAAAATATTTTGATCCATTCTTAAAATGTGAGGCTTTTGTTTATATTAGGTAGTAAAAGATTTTATTACAATGGAGTTGTATTTTCAGATTGATTTTTACTTTGTCAGGGATCAGCAGTCTTTCAGAAGTGCGATGCCAAGTTAGTGATTCTCCGCTAATTTTGACATGAGGTGGGGCTTAATGACTCTTACAGTGTGTAATGTCATGATGAGAATGACAAACTGGTGGTAGCAGTTCTGGCTCTTGTGCCTTTCTTGTGCCCTCCAACAGTCATATGAAATATAGACCCAGTGGGTTCTGGAGGGAATCCACCATATTTCCTGACTCTGGCCCTAGGAAATGCAACAGTAGAGGCCACATCTTAATTCTGCTGTTTCATTTTGTTTTTTCCACCTTATAACCAGGTTTTACCATGTGGGCAACTTGCTGCAACTGGTTCTGTCAAGATGGACATCCTGAGGAGACTCAGCAGCCCCAGGGAGCCAGAACACAAGCATATTCCAACCCTGGTTACAGCTCTTTCCCTTCCCCTGTGGGCTCTGAACCCAGCTGCAAGAACTGTGGGACCCACTTTGGCAGCACAGCCAGGAAGGTGAGCATCAGGCCCTCCTCCCCGTCTGCTGCTGTGTCACTCGACTGTGGCCTTGGGCAAATCAGCTGACCTCATGACTACTCTCAGGAAAATGCTAGTAAGGGTACAAACCCACTTCACAGGATCATGGGGGAAGAATAAAGGAAACCAGTGACAAAGCCCTTTGCACATTGTTCAGTTGTGTCTGATTCTTCCTGACTCTGTTTGGGGTTTTCTTGGCAGAGATCCTGGAGTGGTTTACCATTTCCTTCTCCAGCTCATTTTACAGATGAGGAACTTGAGGCAAATAGGGTTAAGTGACTTGCCCACAGTCACAGAACTAATAAGGGTCATAAAGATGAGACTTCCTAATTCCAGGGCTGGCGCTCTACCCACAGTGCTACCTGCCTGACCAATATAACAAGACACAAATGGAATTTAAGCTGCTACCTCCCTGAGTTGTCTGAGTGCAAAAATTTGTTCTCTTTATTGAGGACAATTTCAAGGATCCCATAAGAACAGGAAGGGCCTAATAGGAGAGACTGAGTTGCAATTTGTTTCATTTGAAATGCTTTGTAGCCACTCTTTGGAGATAAGCTGGCAGAAAGGAAAGCGATGTACAATGTAATGGTTTATGGCTGTCGGCCACCACTCAGGCTGATGCCCAAGTGATCCCAGTATGTTCCCAGTGGCCAAAGAGTTAGAGGGACAATAGGGAGAAGACCCTGATCCTTAGAAATAGCTCCGGAACCCACTCTTAAAGGAAGATGGAGGTTTGGGTGCTGGGAAAACCCCTTACTTAATGATTCTTTCTCCAACTTAAGACTTGTGGAGGATGGGCATTTTTAGTCTTGGGCATGAATGTGACTAAGAGCTCGGGCAGAAGGCAGAACACTCGTGTATGGGATTGGTCATTCTCCTAAGAATTCATCATCAGAGAATGCTTCATGTTGACAAATATCCCTTTGTGGAGTCAGAATGGTTGGTTTAGGAGCCAGTTTGCAGCTTGAGACAGTGTTTAAAGCAGACGTGTAGTCACACTCCTACCTGTCACCCAGTGACAGAAAAGTCGTTTGATCCAGATACCAATAATGGAAAGGTTTTCTGGCTTAGTTGAGCCTCCAAGTTCCATCTGGGGCTATCAAAGTTGCTCTTTCTGCTTTTATTCAACTCAGTCTCTCAGTGATGATTAACTGTGTGTAGAACATAGTGCTTACCCAGGGTGGGGAAGATAAAGTTTGGATAAAGCACGGGCCCTGTCCTCATGTCGCTTATAGTCTAGGAGGGGATTTCAATACCAACATAGGGAATAACTAATAATCAAATAGATCTGAGATCTCATCATCTGTAGATAAGTCCTTCCTTCCACCACAACTGGTCCTTAGGGAATTTCAATTTAGTCTTCTGTATGGTCTGGGAAATAAAAGTCATCACTTAGTGAATGGATTTTAAGCATTGTAAGCAATATAAACAGGGACCAAAAGGGGTTAGATAATGCAGAGAGCAGTTCCACTTGGCACGTTGATTATCTGGAAGGAGCAATATGAGATAAGGCTGGAAAGAGAGTGTGGCAGCAGGTTATGGAGAGCTTGCAGGCCGGGGCAGGAACAGGGAACCGGGGCAGATTCTTGTGCAGACAAGTGACAGGACATGAACACATCTGTTTATGAGAAAGATGCTGACAGCAGTGGGATGAGGGGAGGGGAAGATGACAGCGTTGGAGGGAGAAATTTGGCAGTGAGCCACATAAAAGTTATAATAATAAATCACGTTGATAGAATGCTAACAATTTGCAAAGCCACTTCAGTATTCATTATCTTGTGTGGTTTAATTTACCAAACTCTGTGACTTAAGTGGGGCATAGATTATTCATTTTACAGATGAGAAAACTGTGACTCAGAGAGGTTAAGCAAGTTGTCCAGGGTCATCACTGCCTGCTGGCTTAGTGGGGTAGCAAGGTGGTGCAGTGGATAAAGTTTGGGGTCTGGAGTCAAGAAGACCTGAGTTCAAATCCAGCCACAGACATGTACTAGCTGTGTGATCCTGGGCAAGTCACTTAACCCGTTTGCCTCCATTTCCTCATCTGTAAAATGGGGATAATAATAGCACTTAAGTCTCAGAGTTGTCATGAGGATCAAATGAGATAATATTTGTAAGGTACTTAGCCTAGTGTCTGGTGCAGAGTAGGCATTATATAAATGTTAGGTTCATGATGATGATGATGATGATGATGATGATGATGACAACAACGACAACGACGACTGGTAAATGACAGCACCATGACTAGAATTCTGGTCTAAGGGGATCTTTCCGTTAGGCCACACTGCTTTTCTAATCTAGGCCACAGGTGATATGAAAGTTAGTGAGATCTCCATGAGTGTGAGAAGGAGGAGCGCTGTTACAGGGGTTAAAGGAGGAAAGGAGAGCCACTGAAGGGAATTTGGAAGAGGAGTGTCCTGAGAGCTGGGGAGCAAGGGCTGGGCTTGCTCACCAAGGTCACATGTTGTGGGGAGGCCACTGAGGAAGAGAAGTGAGAAGTGCTCCCCGTCTTGGTTGGGAGGTGGGTGGAGACTTAGAAAAGTGCAGCTTCATGGAGACCAGGGAAGATGGAAGAGAGGTGGCAGGGCTTTGAGGAAAGGCAAAGTGGGGAAAATGAGGAAGCAGACCCAAGAATGGAGGCCGCTTAGTCCAGAATTGTGACAGTGAAAAAAAAGTCAGATTTGTGGGGTTGGGGCAGCGTTTAGGTAAAAGGTTTCTCAAGGGCATGGCCACTTCTATTTTAAGCTCCTTGAGGATGGAAATTTTTTTGTTTTCTCTTTGTATACATAGGTTCTTGATAATGTTTATCAAATTGATTATTTGAAAGTAGGGAAGGTGCTTGTAAAGAGGAAATGCTTGAAGTTGAGTCAGAGAAAGGTAGGCCAAGGTTCTGGAGGAGGAGGTGGTAGGCCATGGATAGAGAGGGCACATAGAAGGGTTTGGTAGCTGCCGTGGAACAGGGCCTGGTGATGTTTTTGAAGGTGGGGGGAACTAAAGGAATGGGTGCTGTGCTTCATACTTGAGAGGTCAGCTGGGGAACAGGAAAGACCTCATTTTGAAGGTGGTGCCTGCCCTGAGTCTTGAAAGGAAACGGATTCCACATGTGGAGGGACAGTATTCTAGGAGTGAGGAATAGCCAGCTGGTGCAAAGAGTTTCTTATATGAAGAGTAGCAAGTATGACTAGACCATAAAAGGTGGGGGTGGAAAGGAATAATGGATAAGAAGGCTGGCAAATGACACTGTGAGCCCGGGTGGCCATGTGGACAATGGACTGGAGCTGGGGGAAGACTGGAGGCAAGGAGACCGATTGGGAGATGCTGAGGGCCTGAGGTAAGGTGGTGAGGTTGTGTGTGGAAGTGGAAGGCAGGGGACAGGTGCAGGAAGTGTTGTGGCATTGGAAACTGCAAGGAATGGTAACATGTGGGACGTGTGGGGTGAGCGAGAATGAGGAGTCACTGCTTGGGGTGATGGAGAGGATGGCGGGGCCCTGGACAAAAATAGGGAGGTTAGAACAAAGAGAATGAGCTTTGGCCTGTGGTAGGCACTCGGAATACTTCCAGGGCGTAGCAGGTGCTTATCAGAGATTTGAGTGAATGGAACAGAGTAAGAGATAGGATATGCTGGTAGTTTGGTTGAGGAATTGGTAACATAGTTTCATCTGCTTCCAACACCCCCCCCCCCCCCCATGACTTTCTTTTCCTTGTTTTTCTTGGCAGCATTTTTGGGTGCTTAACATTTTAGTTAAGTACTTTGGACAATTCCATAGAAACATTTCCTGAGATAATTCTTCTTCCAGCCACCTCGCCCCTGGCTTGTTTTGAGCAGATTTTAGTGTTTACCAGCAGTGTTTTCTTTGTTAATTCTACCTATGTTTGTTGACCACTAGGTTGCTTTTTGTTTTCTTTTCTTTCTTCTTTCCTGTCTCTTTAGACTAGGATTTTAGCCTCAGGCATTATTTTACTCATTTATGGCGCATCTTAGAGAGCTACTTATTCAGAATCCCTGGTGAGCAGAATTCGTGGTTAGCTATAGCTCATATTTAAATGTTGCTCTCTTTGCGTTTTGATCTCGCACCTAACAAGCCAAGTACATTTGGAGAGAAGACCCCAGGACCCCTGGGAACCTCAGTGATTGGTAGAGCAACTCAAAGCTTTTATAATTTATTAGGTATTTTGCCAAGCTGTGTCTTGTAAAACTACATTGTCTTGAGTAATGTTCCTCTTCACAACCTGAGGCTTTGTGACTCTCAAGTCTCTAGATGTCCATAGCTATCTTCCTAAACTTGGACTAATTGAGTACATCACATTCCCAATGGAAAAGCTTCACATATGGATGAACTTAAAAAAAAAATACATCCATTTTCCAGTTGGATGCTGTTGTTCCCAGAGTTGCTATAATCTTCATGCATGTGGGTATGCAGTTCAGTCAGCCTGTCTGAAAATTTTATTGTGGCACCAGAACAGTTTGGAGATTGGCACTGGGCTGGTTTTTTCCTGAGCATCAAGAGTCAAAGTTGAGATGAGACAAAGCTACATGTTAAACACATAGAACACATTTATTTCTATTTTGGTTATTATGTTGGTGGCATATGTGAAAGAGAATGAACTGTCTGAAGCTTTGGTTCAATTCCCTTCATAACTCTTGAATATGAGAATCTCACTCTTAGAGGGATGACACACCTTCATTTAGTTTGGAGAATTCCCAGGATACACAAGTGTCAGAGTCTTCAGGGTTTCTATGTTTAAAAGCAGTGAAGCAGACCTATGTAGATTAAAATGTAAGTTCAGAGAAAGGAGAACAGGTTTGTGGCATCTTTGAAGGATTAATGAGAACCTTTCCAAGGTGATGCCTCCAAAGGACATGAATGTGACCTGCTCTTCTTTTTGGAACAGAATTTGGCCTAATGTCACCATGATCTCTTACCCTGTGGGAGGAACAGCTGGGACACTTAGGCGTATATTGCTTTTGGAGCTATAGGTTGGCAAACTCTAGGTATGTCCCATGACTATTTATATGTCCACTGCCAGACAGTACCAGCTTACACGTCAGATACTTGACTCATACTTTCTAAAAAAAAATAGTATATGCTTTCCCAAATAAGAACCCTGATATTCTAATAACTGTCTAAATATTTATCTTGGATGTGGTCTTATGTTCCACCAGGTTCCTAGCATCTCAGTTAATCTCATTGTTGTCAGAAGGCCGCATCATCGTGGTCAAATTGTGGCTAGATTTGGAGTTGGGAATATGGTTGGGGCAGTTTGCCACAGGGTTCTGTGAGGCCTGAGAAGAACCTAACTTGATTATCTGCCAGTCGATCTGATAATCCTGTCCTCCAGCTCCCCCACTGGGCTTTGTGAAATGCGTGGTACCGTGTAAGAGGTGCGAATTTTCTTGCTGAGCCATAGCACTGACCAGCCCCGTGCCCAGCTAGCTACCTCATTCCTACAGCCTGACCCTGTGCTCATTTTCTCCCCCTTCCTTCCACTGAGCAGCACACGTGTTTGGACTGTAAGAAGAATTTCTGCATTTCCTGCTCGAGCCAAGTAGGGAATGGTGCCTGCCTCTGCTATCTCTGCCAGCGTTTCCGAGCCACAGCCTTTCATCGAGAAGAGCTGATGAAAATGAAGGTGAAGGACCTGAGGGACTATCTCAGCCTCCATGACATCTCCTCTGAGATGTGCAGGGAGAAGGAGGAACTGGTGTTCTTGGTGCTTGGTCAGCAGCCGGTGATCACGCAGGAGGACAGGACTTGTAATGCCCCTTTCCCCTCAGGCCTTCCTGAGCATCAGGCCTTCCTGGCCCAGCCTCATACCAGCACAGCACCTCCTACCTCTCCCAACCTCCCTCCGTCACCGGCACAGCCCACCTCCACTCCCTCAGCCCAGGCTCAGGAAAACCAGCAGGTATGGGCCTGTTTTCAGTCTATGCTACTCTGGGCTCAACTGCCCTCTGTCTCCAACTTCTGAAACCTAGAAGTTGGAGAGTGTGCATATGTGTGGTTCTGATTTTCTTGAACTCCTTCCCTCTATATGTAAGCTCCCTCTATTCATCTTTGTTTTCTGTAGTCAGGAGCTGCTTACTGGACATTGCTTTAGCAGCTTTAACAAGGACGAAGTGGCGCTTGCCTGGATGGAGGCTCCTAGTAGATGATTTGAAACCTGATTTTATTCCCTTTCTTGTTTGTAATTTGCTGAACGTACTTCTTTTGGAGCTCTTATGATGATATAGTCTAGCCTTCTACTCCCCTCCCCCAGATTTGAGAAAATCCACGTACCAGGCTCTGAATTCAGCCACTTGTCAGAATAAGCATATTCAAAACACACCAGACATAAAAACCTGTCATTCCCACCTTGTCTTTCAAGGGAAGGATAATCTTAATTTTCCAAACTTTACCAGTAGGCCTAGAAAATGATGCACCTGCTGTGGGGGTTCTGTGATCAAATCCAAAAAATGACCTCTTTTCCCATGGCTCTGCTTCAGTCTTCAGCCAGTTTTATGGCCCAAACAAAGAGGCCTTGTTTCTGTCTCACTGTGTGCCAGGGAGCAATGATCCTCTGAGAGCCATGAATCTATATGGAGGTGCCTTAGTTACCCTCTTACTTACTTCTCAACACAGGGGTAGATTGGGAATCAGAGGCCTGGTTTCCACTATTGGCTTTGTTACTGATTCTTGAGTCCCCTTGGACAAATCCTTTCGGCTATTAGCCTTTAAATCGAAATGGGGATAGTCCTTGACCTCTTTCTATTTCCATAGGATGTTTGGAGGGATTAGTGAGCTATCATCTATAAAGAGCTTTGAGCTACTTAGGGAGAGGTGCCTGGTATTAAAAGTCTGTTCTTATTTCCTCCCATGTGTTCTGTGGCCTGCTCCTTCTTTACACAGTTCATTTCACTTGTGCCAGGATTTGGTACCTTGATTCAGCTCTTAATGGGCACTGAAGTAGGAAGTCCAGCTCGAGATCATAATTTTAACTGCATTACAGTGTTTCACTGGATATATGGCTTGGACACTTGAGAGTTTTTCATTGTCTATACGATACCCTTTGGCTTTCTCTTGCATCAGCTTCAGCTGCTAAAGCCTGGGCCTTCCAGAGCACTAATAGTATGTGTTGGGAAGATTATAACTAGGAAAGAAACTTGAGGAAGGAATGATTTTTCTTAGAAAAATTTTGCTGGGTCTTCCATGGATGAGAATGAATAGAAGTGCTCGGTTTTTAATGAGGTCATTTTCTCCAGGTCACGCTGACAGGACACCAAGATACCTGTGCGAATGGCCACAAGGATAGAAGGTCACAAATTACAGACACAAGATGTTGTTGATCACTTTTCCCTTGATGCTTTCTGAGTTCTTGCCTGTTGGGCATGTCTTGAGTATCTTCTGGGCAGGAGGGCTGGCAGGTGGTAGAGGTGTACTTATTTTGCAAAAAGAGAAAAACAACAGTCACATGTTTCCCCAAACTACATACCAAGATGGCAATGGAGCTAGGCCTTCTTTTACTTCAGAGCTGTGGAGTCGTCATAGCATTATTGGAGTACAGAGTGTGTATAACTTTGAGCAGGTTCTCTGAACACATTTCAGTTTCCTAGTAATGAGAATAAAATAGATAGTAATTAAACTCCCCCCCCCCCACCCCTGCCCAAACCCTTTAATCAGTTTAAAGCAGGCCTGTACAACTTGCTGGGCTGGCCTGGCCCCTTGCCACAGCTTGCAGCACACCAAAGGGTTTCCTCTGCATTCAAAGGGTGTTTTCCTCTACATTTTTCCCTGGCCCCCTGAAATCCTTTGGAGGGCCGCAAGTTGTGCAGGCCTGCTTTCAAGGATGGCAAGAGGCTGATTTGAGAGTCATGTATGAAGTAGCTTGCTGGTAGAAATCAACTGGAATCTTATGAACCCCAGCTCTTTGTAGATTGAGTAGTAGATGGTTGGGGACGTAAGGTAGAATCTGTTCCTCAAGTTTATTCCTTCACTAGTATTCCAAGCATTGAAGGGGAGGAAGAGGTAGTCTGATAGCAGAAGGAATCAGACTCTTGTAGGGCTCTGGTTTGGTACATATTCTAGGTTGGTTTCAGGGGAAGGCACTAGTTTATGGACAGAATCCTCTCGATGTTGGTGAGGGAAATCCAGGTATTTTACTTTTAAATGACACAAGAAATCCCTACTACTTAACTCTTAGGGGAAATCTTCCACACATTCTAGGTGGGGACATTTGAAGTTTTAGGATCCTATGCAGAATAACTCTCTTAAGGGGAAAATTGTGCACATTTTTATGCTAACATGGTATGAGGGTAGAGTGTTCAGATCTAGGGAGATGTTAATGCCATCGTACTATGCCTTGCTGAGACCAAACAAGTACATCACACTCAATTCCAGGTATCCCATTTGAAAGGGAATGTTGGCAAATAAGAGAGCATGCAGGGTGGGCTAGTAAAAAATGCTGAGGGGCCCAGAAATCATATCCTATGAGGAATCATTGAAGGGATGGCTTGGAAAAGAGGAGGCTTTCAGGGGATGTGATAGTTGTCTTCAAATATTTGAGTGTTGATATTACTAATACCTGACTTTTTTATACATTTTCAGTTGATACTCATAACAGTTCTTTGTAGACTTGCTCTGTGTATTTGCTGAAGGCAGAAAGTATCAGGTGGAAATTATGGAGGAGGGAGATTTTGGCTAGATATGATGGCTGACTTCCTGACAGTTTGAGCAGTCTAACATTGGAATGGTCTTGCCTAGTCAAGTAGTAAGTTCCTTCTCTTTGTACACCTTCAGGAGTAGGGGATGAGATTCTGGAGCTGCTGAGAAGGGAGGAGCGCTCTGGAGTAGGTGTTCTCCAAGGCCCTTCCCACTCAAAAGATGCTGTAACTCCATCTACATTCCTCAGTCCAAGTCACTGGTGTGTGGTGGATGCTTACTAAGTGATACAAATAAATGAGGCATAAATACAAGTGGGGCACCGTAGCCCTTGTTTCCTGCCTCTTCTCATTCTCAGCCTCAATGGTGCCCACCAGGGTTAATGAATCATGGCTAATAGGAGCCATTATCCATGAGCCAGGAGCTGTGTAGTTATTTTGAATGGTTTTTATGTGTCTTTTTTCACAGTGCCTACCTCCGGAAAAAGTCTTGCTAGGTGAGATCCCATTTGGGGGCCATTGTCTTTGGATGCTTTTCACTTTTGTTGAGCTCATTGTCAGGTCTATAGTATAGTATAAAGGGGCTGGTACTGCAGAGTCCCAGCTGTTACCCAAGACTGCCCTGAGACTTCCCTACAGCTATGACTGCAGTTTTCTTTCCTACAGGCTAATGGCCATGTGCCCCAGGACCAAGAAGCAGTGACGTGCCTGGAGAATGTAGCAAGCGCTCCTATGGAGGATGAAACTCAGGTGAGGCAGCTTAAGTGTGAGTCTGATCCTTCCCAGCTGTTGCTGAAATACTGGGGAGGGGTGACCCCTAGGGAATCCCATTCCTGTTGTGGAAAGAAGTATTTCCATGCTGTACAGTTGTCAGTGGGGACTCAGCACCCTGAAGAGCACAGGGCAATGCTTAGCTTAGGCTCCGTTATGATTGTCCTTGTAGTTATTGCTGAGGGCAGGTTTCCCATGGTACTGTTTAACTAACTTTCATTCCTCTTTCCAGCCAGTGCCAGGAAGAACAAATAGGAGCTATAGTCACAGATCTCCCAGGCTCTTTGACAAACTACAGCAAAGGCAGGGAATTGGGGAAGGTTTGAAGCCAGGGCTGTAAGAGTAGAGGACTGAATGTCAGGGAAACTGCCTTCCTGTAAGAGCGGGATTCCCTCTGATAGTCACAGTGACAGAGCATTGCATGGAACTGAGTCTAGAACCGGGGTTCATGGAGCTAAGAACTGTTTCCTCCCTTGGACGTTAGGGGCCCATAATCTAGGACCATCACTGAAAAGAAGCTGATAGTGCTTCAGGACCTGTGGAGAGAAACCGGGATCATTGTTCACCTTTTGTGCTTTGCAGTCTATTGACTCTGAGGACAACTTGGTGCCAGGGCGGAGAGCCTCACTGTCTGATCTGGTGAACGTGGAGGACATTGAGGCCCTCACTGTGCGGCAGCTCAAAGAGATCCTGGCTCGGAACTTTGTGAATTACAAAGGCTGCTGTGAGAAGTGGGAGCTGATGGAGAGGGTGACCCGGCTGTTTAGGGAGCAGAAAGACCTCCAGCATTTGGGTAACGGGCAGCTTTGGGGCTCATGCTTGCTCTCTTAGGTGATTTTCCTTCTGTCTAGATCTGTGTTCTTCTGAACTCTGAGACATTCCCTATGCTTTTGGAATGGGAAGGGGAAAACGCTGCTATTGCCCCAGAGAGAGCTCTCTACCCTGTGGGTGCTCCTAGAATGTATCCTCCTACTCCACAGAGGATTTCTCTAAACTCTCTGGCTGTGTTGATGACAGCAGCCATGTTGTTCGTGGGTCCCCGTTTCCCCCACCCCCGGGCTTAGTCCTGTAGTTTTCCAGTACACATACCCTCTCTTCCCACTTGGTTCATGTAGCCTGCAGCAAAATGCCTGTTTCTGAGGCAGGGCCAAAGGGACTTAACGGTTGTTATCCTATACTGTAGACGTGGTGGGACAGGCAAACTACTGTCACAAGTTACTGGCACACAGGGTATGCCTATAGGGAAAGAATTCAGAAGTAAACTTGGAAAAAAGGGGAGGAGCTTTTCTCGTCTCCCATGTCTCCAAATAACATTTTACTTTTCTTTCTGTTGCAGTGTCTGGCACCGTAGATCAAAATGGTATGTACTGTTTATTTTCTCTGAGAACTGGCTTAATATTTTTTCCTTCCTTTTCTCTTCCTCCCTTCCTAATTTTGATTCCTATTAACCATCTAAGAGGTTTGAGTATCTTGGTATCACAAAGAATTGTGTGAGAAATTTGGAGGTAACTCAGGCTCGTCCACATCTTTCTGACATCCCAGCTCCTCCCCTGATGATGGCAGAACGCAGCACACCCTTGAGCAAGCTCATTTGCAAGTCTCTGTGTTGCAGAGTTCAGAAGCTGCAGCTCATAAAATATTTAACAAAGCTAGTAGTGGCTTACATCACACTCACCCTATTTTTCATTTTCTTGGCACTGAGGTGTTTCCGCCTCCCCCATCTTTTCCCTTGATAGACTGTGTGGGGCGGTCTTTGAGACAGAGCTGTAGGCTGACTCCTTCCCAGCACCGTCAGTGGCAGATTGTGCTGACCAGATGGAAGACATTGAGCTTTTGGGGAGCCTTGTTAGTGCGGAGTCCCCAGAGTGGGAAGTTTTGGGTTAGGCTATTTTCTTGGGAAGTGTACAGAAAGAACACAGGCAAACGGACTAGTGTTCTCACCTCAGTTACCTTCTTCTGAGCCTCAGTTTCCTCTTCCTTGGTTGCTAGGAAAGATCGGCTAGTCTGAAAAGTCCCCGTGCTGAAGATGTTCGGGCTGGGACGTCAGCGTGATCTCTTCTGAAGGCAGTAGTTTAAGATAATGGGGATGGGGCTACTTACATTTGGGCACCTCTTTGAGCTTTTCAGAAAGCTACCTACAGACACCATCTCATCAAATGGGCCTTGGCTCCATAGAAGAGCTTGGTTTGGGAGCGGAGGGATTCTCCAGTGTCATGGTGCTGTTCTCCTGAGAAACAGATATTACTCCAGACTAGGAAATAGAGCAGCCCGTGCAGCTTTCTTTTCTGTTTTGCTTTCCTTGTTCCTTGTTCCTCAGGTTAACTGAGGCAAGAGGAGAACAAATCATTGAAGTTCAGATAACCCCCCCCCCAAAAAAAATTAAAAAAACAAAAAGAAATTCAGATAACCCCCTAACGCCTTTGGCTGATGATGATGTAGAATTCCCAAATCCTTTTCATTTGATTTTCACCTCTTCCCATTGGCCTTGTCCAGAAAAGAGAAGGAAAAGGGGGAGCAGAGCAGCTGAGGAGTGTGGGTGGGTGATTGTTAGTCTGCCAGAGGGCTAAGCAGGCCCTGTGTGTGATGGAGCACAGGGGCAGTAAGCGCTCTCACTGATAACAGCTGATTAAGATGGGTTCTTCTTTCTGGCTTTGGCTGTGCTAAGGCATCAACTCCAGGAATCCAGGCCCTCCATCTGGAGCTGGGAAGGAAATCACCCTTCATTTTCCATCGGAGGAAACTGAAACCCAGAGAGGTTGTTCCAGGTCACGTCTGTTACCGAGGGAGTCAGTGATAGACTGGTGTTTGAACCAAGATTGTCTGCCTCCAAATCCAGTGTTCTTCCCACTGTGCCACGCTGTGTCCATTAAGAATGCAGCTGCTGTTAATGTATCTTAACACTGTTCTAGGGACCTTGGCTGCCACGTCAGTATTGACTTACACTGAGTCTGCCCTCCCCTCCAACCGTGATGTCCCTTTCCAGTGCCCTGTGGCTAGGCCAGGGCTCCCCGCCTCCTTCTGCTCGTGTGCATTGTGCACCCAGCCTGGGGGCCCACTGCCTCCTCCTATCCTTGGAAGTACAAGGTTAGCTGAAGCTAGCTAACCATAGTGGTCACCAGTACCTATTCATGGGCCTGCTTGCATTCTGCCAGAAAGATGGAGCTGAAATTACTGTAGATGAGAGAAGGCAACCATGACTTGTTTTCTATTCAGTTAGCAAGATAGTCCAGAGAATTGTGGAACTTTACAGCCCTATCATTTCACAGTGGAGAAGGAAAGGGAGGCTCGGAGAGCCCTAAAACTCACTCGGGGTTACAAAATGAGGTACTTGGCAGAACTGGTTCAGGAATTGAGGTTTTTTGATAGCCAGTTCAATGTCTGGCATCCTAAAGCGAACCTAACTCACTATTACATCACTTGATTGAGAATGAAAACAACTATACTGTGCCATAGGATGAGGAAGAATCGGAGCTTAGTTGTTGCATAAAGCTAAAAAGAGCTCAACCACTTTAACTTGCAAAGGAATTTCCTACCCACAAATTTTCTGCCTATTAAGTTTAAAAAGTTGGAATTTCTTTCCTAGAAAAAAACTTAAATGGAGCTCTTTTGGCATACCTGTGTTAAAAAAGGCTCTTTTCAATTTGCCCACCCTTTTGGAATGAAGGTAAGAATATCAGTGCCTTCCTGGGTCAGGGCAGTGGTCCATTACTACTTATGATGGTGGACATTTTGTTGGAAAACATGGTTGCTTTCCAGGACATCATTCTCAGAAGGTTATGGATCTTGGTGGGGTAGGAAGCATACTGGTTTAGGAGCTAGGAGATGCCTGCTGTCATGAACAGCTCTGCTGGTGGCTTTATCGCCCGAGCCTCAGCTTCAGGTTGCACTGGACTAGAGGGTTTTAACCTAGGGTTTTTGGGTGGATTATTTTGGGAGGGTGGGGGGATGGGGAGGTAGCTATGAACTTGGATGGGGAAAAAAAACCATTTCTTTGTTTTCAATGATCTTTGGTTTCCTTTATAATCCTATGTATTTTGTGCATTTAAAAACATTCTGAGGAGTCCAAAGGCTTCCCCACACTGCCAGAGGTCCCAAATAGTCTTTTAACCCAAGCTACTCTCCCTCTGTTTTATACTTAAACCTTTCCTGAACCTATTTATATTTCTAAGTAGTGGCTAATTTAGGGGTAACAGATCTCTTTCATGACACTGAAGTGCTTTACATTTGTCCAAAAACTACATTTTTCAGACATCAAGGGCTTCTTTAACTGAGTCTTAATGTTTTGGGGTTCAGTGATGAGTCACCCAGACCATGACATCCTAAGAGAACACAGAAGAGAGAAATGATCAGAGCTGGGTGGGTTAGTCAGGAAAGGCTTCCTGAAAGGAGTTGGATTTTTAGCTGAATTTTGGGGATTCAGGAGAGTTTGGCTCTGACATCTTCCTTGACCACTTGCCTTTTTTTGTTTGTGTGTGTAGGGGATCCAGCGCCATCTAGTGCAGAGGAAAATATATGTAAGATCTGCATGGACTCACCTATCGACTGTGTCCTGTTGGAGTGTGGCCACATGGTCACTTGTACCAAGTGTGGGAAACGGATGAACGAGTGCCCCATCTGCCGCCAGTATGTGATCCGAGCTGTGCATGTCTTCAGATCCTGATGGCTAGAACCAGGCCCTTCCATACCCTATGGGGCAAGTCGGTTCACCTGTGGATCCACTGTGAGATTTGCAAAGTATCACCCCAAAGCCACGGCCAGCAAGGACAGAAAGAAACCCTGGGAGCTTTCTGCTCGTCTGGTCAGTTGCGCCCTTTTCACCACAACATTTTCCATCTCGGTGTTGGATCTGATAGGGCTCCCTTAGCCAATGGGGATTTATTAGCCCTGCTTGGGGCAGAAATCAAATGGGCTCAGTCCCCGTTTCACACGATCAGTTGGTGACAGTAAATTTGTGATGAACACAAACTTCCCAGCACTCAGACCACATTGGAGTACTTTTTCCTCCCTTCAATACAAACCATAGTTATTAAGGATCTTTTTCTGCAAAATTATCCCTTGATATCTATTGTAAATTCATCCCTCTGTGGAGACAACTCAGTGCTGATTTTTTAATCATTCAGAAATCTTGGGGTTTTTTTTCCCTATTATACACATGGCTGTATTTTCTGTCTCGTGGCTTGAGTTTAATTCAGTCACCATTAATCTCTCTCCTCATGTCTTCCTTTGGTTTCTTCAGCTCAAAAGGCATTAATGTCCTGAAGAGTGAGTAACTGGCTATGAATGCTCTCACTGAAACTAAAAGGACGGTGTGCTATTAAACAAAAGCCACGATGTCTTTTCCTGTCCCACCTGCCATGTTGTGGGGAGGCAGGGGACTCCAACTATCCCCATGGAGTTTGGCTGGCTCCTGTCTTGTCATTGAGCCCCTTGTTTGGTGCCTTAATTAGACTGACAAGAAAACAGAATTTTTCTGCCCGTGAATCTTTCGCCTGTTGAAAATGAATCTTTGAAGGTTGTTGAGAAGTCTCAACATAATAGTTGATTACCTGAGTGCATGATGGGAAGGTATTTGTCTCTATAACGACTTACAGTGACTTGTTAAGGCTGCCTGATGAAGCGGTGTCATTCCCGAGATGGACTTCTCATTGCTGTCTCTTTACTTACTGTGGAAGCCAAAGAGACATTTGGCTTGCACATGATAGAGAAATTCTGAGTCCCAGAGAGAGAGGGGAGAACTTACTGTGGACTCACATTTGCCTTGGCCATCCCTTGAGGTGTTAGTGGAAGAAAGATGTGACTTTTGATTCAGCAGCCCCAGTAGCATCTCTTCAGTCCCATCCCCTTGATGGAAACGATTGCCTCCTGCTAGTTCTTTGAGCTGAGTCTGCTTGGTTCTTGGTCCTCCATCATCCTGAGACTTGGGTCAAGGTTCTTTCAGCATACAGCCATACTTCCCGTGAATGTACTCAGTGGGACAGATAGCACAAAGTCCTGCAACATGGCTTCTTTCCACTGTTGGACAGGTAACAAAAAGCCTTAAAACTCCCAGGCATCTTGGGGGAACTCCTGGTTCCCATTTCTTTTCTTCTCCTGTTGTTTCTGTTTGGTATTAGCAGGAAGTCTGAACTGGCTGATAGAGGAATAGCACGGCAGTGAGCAGGCTTACTGTGTTGGCAGAGAGAGCCCAGGGACAGCAGCAGCCTGGGTCTTCTGTCTTGAGCCAATCTAGGGACTCTTTCTTCTCAGGGGCCTGGGTTAATTGAGAAAGCCCCTTGCTAATGCAGTCAAGCACAAAGCAAACCAGGTGCCTAGTGACTTAGCAACTATGCAAAACTTACCCACCTAGAGCCTTAGCAGACCCCACTGTGCAGCCTTGATCCCTTTAAATTGTAAAGGGTGAACTACTGCTTTGGAAGATAGAGGTGAAATTGCTCTCTCCTAAGGAGAACAGTAATATTGGTACGGACTTTGTAATGATTCCTTTTCCCCTAACTCACTTTGGAAAGAAGAGACGATTTCAGGAAGGAATTGTCAGCTAAGTACTCATTTGTTTATTTGGATATTAGATCGGGTCTTGGGGATCACATTCCAGAATCTTCACCCTTTTCAAACCTGAAAATTAATGATGAAGATTCATTGTCTCTCTGTTGCTGCTTGACACCACGGTTTACAGCCCATAGTGGTTCTGAAAAGGGCTGTTCAATTGTCAAATGACTCCACTGTGAAATAAGTTAATAGGTATGCAAATCAGTCATCATTTAGAAATAAGCTCAGAGCAGGAACAGGCCCTCTACCCATTTGTTGCCTTCTTTCTCGTCTGAAGTTGGTGGCAGTGTTCTGCCTTCTGGGCTTAGGAGGCTTTCCACATCTGGAAAGTGACCCCTTTACTGGATGAGCTGAGGATGGGGAGCAGACCTGCATAACCAGCTCCCTACTTGGTCATCAATCAGAGCCCCACCAGTCTTCAGCCTGATACATATCCGACAGGGGGTGGATTATTTTAGAAGAATGTGACAACTTAGTCTGTTTCTTTAAATTTTCTTGGTGGGTGATTTCTCATCCAAGGAAATATCCCAATCTTGTGTTAATTTTTTATTTTGACAGAAATTGGGTGTTTAAGAATCATGTATGATGTCCAAGTGAGAAATCTGATTTTACTTCTGAGTTACTCCTTGCCTCCCTCCCCACATCCTGGAGTACTTAACTTTCACTGCAATGGCTAATTACTCTTATGGCATTTTCTTTATTTTTGATATGATTGCTATGAGATTTCTGGTTAATGAGACTTCTAGAAGACTGGTTCAGAGTCTAGTGGTACAGATGGATCCAAACTATGAAAAAGCTGTAAAGAAATGAGTGCTTCGTGTACATTAATGTATAAATTTAAGTCTTTTGAATGTTTCTGAGCTGCTTGAAGTAGCTGATACTGAGATTCTCTCTGACTTCTAGTGGGTGTTAAAGCAAGCCCAAATGTGTATTTTTTTGTTACAGAGTTATGCTTTATAATTTTGTAATAAAGTTTAAATATGATTGAAAAGGCCTGCTTTGCTATCTGGTGTGACATTGTACACATGAGCACCTCATAGCGGGAGTGGACAGAAGTTCAAATCAACCAACATTAAACTTTATGTGCAAGGCTCTGTATTCTGTACTTTGTACATCAGACTTTATAAATAGTGGTTCCTTACCCTTCAGTCTTCAGTTTTTCTGCTTCCAGTGAATATTTATAAATCAGAAGTTAAGTGCATGCAGTTTGCTGCTCACTTTAAAAAGGAATCCTGGTAGCTCCACAAATGTCCCAAAATAGGGGGTTAACTCTGAGGGGTCTGGGATTTGGATGGGAAGAAAATCACATCTTTATTTCTATAGAATTGGTTTCCTTTTTAAACCTTTATATTTTATTTTAGTCAACTAAAAACATTCTGAGAAGGACTCTATAGGTGTCACCAGACTGACAGCTAGAAGGGTCCAAGGCACAAAAAAGGTTCATTCTAATGAAACCTTCCTGACCATCTTCCTCTTCTTTTCCCCTTCTCCTAACTCCCTCCCCCCCGCCCCAAACCATGCTGCTTCAGGCTCATAATACAATGGTTTTAAGATCCCCCAGCCTAAAAGAGGCAAAAAGGGGTTGGGCCCAGACTCTTGGTTCTGAAGCCTGAATAAGTCTGAGCCTGAATAAGAAGTGACGCCACTTGTGTTGAGCATGTTAGGGAGTCAGGGAAGTTATGGGGCAGGCCTTTTTTGCAAATGGGAATTGAAGCTCAGGCTAGCAACAGCTTGGGGGATAGGGGAGCATAAACATACAAAAAAAAAAAACATACAGACATGCACATCCCTCCAAAAGGGGGACTGGTTTGAAAAGTCTCCTTAGAGCAGTGGTCAGTTACCTCTAGCCATGAGGGGAGCCCCCAAGGAGGATGTCAAGAAATACAAGGAACTTAATAAAGGGTGTGTGTGACAAAGATGCTTTCATGTGTGGGACAGCAGCTCTGACAGCCGCTTCTTCCAGTGACTTACTGGTAGTATGGCAGCAGCATGGGAGGAGAGTGGGAAGGGCGGCCCAGACTTAGGGAGTCAGAAATCCAAATTCTCACTCGTGACACTGTGTGACTACGGGCAAATCATCTAACCTCTCTGAGCCTTGGTTTCTTACCCTCTAAAATGGGAATAAGACTTCCACTATCCCCATCCAGGGTTTTCTTGGCAGAAATACTAGAGTGGTTTGCCATTCCCTTCTCCAGCTCATTTGACAGATGAAGAAACTGAGGCAAACAGGGTTAAGTGACTTGCCCAGGGTCACAAAGTTAGTGTCTGAGGCCACATTTGAACTTGGGAAGATAAGTGTTCCTGACTCGAGGCCCAGCCCTCCATCCCCTGACGCCATCCAGGTGCCCCACTATCCTCTTTGTAAATTATGAACGAGTAGATGCTAATAGCTCACATGTGGCATCGTGAAGTTTTCAAAGTATGTTCCATCTTGCAGTGCTGCAAGCATTATTATTCCCTGTTTCTAAATGATTTAGCTCAGTAAGGCACAGAGTGGTTGAGTATCACAGAACTAACCAACAGTTGCAGGTTGAAGCCAGAACTCCAGCTTTAGATGCTGGATTTTGAGAGCAGTTATTTTCCGTTCATGCTTCTTCCTCTCTATGTCCATACCTAAGCAAAGCTAGGTAAATTTGAACTTTTATCATGTGTCATAGTTCCTAAAGCAGAGGTGCTATGTTATGAGCTAGATACAGTGGGATCAGGGGAGGAGTGGAAGGCAGAATAGGAAAGCATACGATTCACTTAGTCCAGCATTCTTAGAACCACCAAGAAAAAGGTTTCCACTACAAGGCAGATAGTGTTACTGAGCTACACTGCTGTCCTTCATGAAACAATCTCGAAGTCCTCACATGGGGAATGACATAAGAAAGAATCCTAAGAGGAAAGCCTTGTGGCCAAAATGCCTTTTCTCCTGGGAGGAAACCGTGAAAGCAAAGGGCAGGCCTGTGGCAACCAGGACAACTTCCCCAGTGCACAGATGCAGGGGACCTCTAGCTTTTGGTGTAGAGGAAGAGAGCTGAATGCAGCTCTTGCCATTTGTAAGTTCTGTTACCATGGGCAGATCACAACCTCTTGGGCTAGACTTTGGTAAAATGGGGGGAATGGACTCAGATGACCTTTAAATTGTCTTCCAGCTCAAAACTGGTCCAGCTTCATGGGAAAGTTTGGCCTGTTTGAGCCAGAAACAAATGTACACGTCAATCTTTAGATGAAAAACATGACAGGTCTGGCTCTCTCCTCAGAGAGGGGAAGAAAAGGTAGATGGGCAAGAAAAATCCTTGCTGTGAGGGCTCTCAGTCTGACTGTTGTCATTGCCTTGGGATGCAGTGGCATGTAGTGACTAGCCTGTCCTGAGCACTTGCTGAGCTAGCCTGCACAGAGACAGAGGACAACAAGCCCCTGCCTCCCATTCTGAGACAGACTGACGGGAGCAGTCAGGCAGTGCAAAACACCTGTAACAAGTACCTTTAAAAAGAAGTGGAGGCAACAAAAAGCCCCTCAAAAGCGGAAAAATGGAGGGGCTGCACCTATTTGGCTTCTGTTTAGTGTTTGTATTTTAGTCTCTCAAGAATCCTGCATCTTCTAGTGTTATGAATTCCCTGGTATAAAAAAACTCCAACAGGTGAAGAAATTCCTTGGGATAAGCAGCTGTTCTGTAGTTTATCAACTTATCTGGGAGGTTCATGCTGTTATCCCCATTTTTACAGTTAAGGAAAGTGAAGCAGACGGGTTAAGTGACTTGTCCAGGGTCACACTGCTAGTCAGCATCTGAGACACTGTGGGGAATGGATTGGTAGAGGCTCATGGGGGGTAGTTCTACCATAAGAGAGGACAGAGTGCCAGAAAGATAAATTGGGCCACGGGCCCTCCCCAGTAGAGATGTGTTAAAGAACATAACAAAACATCTTTCGTAAAGAGTTTATTTTGCTAATCTTTAAAAACTGACGCCACCTGACAAAGAATGGGCCAGGCTACACACACTTGCATTTTCCCTTTTTTAAAAAGTACTTTGCAGGACAGTCTTTTTTAAATGCCTTTTAAAAATATTCAGTGGGGAATGATGAAAAAGGGCAGAAGCCATCCCTCCCCCTTTGAGTACAGAGTTCTACCTTGGCCCCTCCTCCACTTTCTCTCCTCTTCTGCCTGTCCAAGAGCACCAGGACAGGAAATGGGCAGAAGGGTGAAGCCATCGTCAAGATTGTATTTATAAAAATACCCAGGCTTTTCAGACAAAAACAAGAAGAAAAAGAAAAGACAAAACCAGCACCCAGATCTGAAAGGTCTCTGTAGAAAAACAAGAGAAGTGGATTTCACTCTTTCCTCTCTCTCATTCAGTGTCTGCCAATCCATTTCCTGCAGCTCTAGAGCAGGTGGGACAGGGGTCCACAATGGGCTTTGGAAGACAGGCTTGAGCAGCATATGAATGACCAGTGCAGCCGTCCCATCCCCAGGGCCTTGTAATGTCTGCCCCACAGGGGTGGACATGGTTGGGGAATAGTTGGACACAGGCCCTAGCATGGCGCCACCAATCTCCTTTTTCGGATACATGCCCAGATCCATTCAGGGGAAACCTGCTGTGCCTCAGGGTTCTTGTCCCCACTGCCCACCACATGTGTAGCTGAGACTGTGTCAAACTCCTGGACCAGATCTCCATTAAATGCCACGAAGTAGCGGCGGAGCTGGCTGAAATCCTGTGTGGAGGGCGGCAGATAAAGCCGCACACCCGTGAAAATGTCCAGCAGCATCTGCAAGTACAACACAGTCCAAGGCGGTAAAAGAAAAGGCATTATTGAGGATGTCCCCCGGGAGATGGGCCTGAAGCAGGGGCAGCAGGAGGCTGGTACGCAGCCCTCCATCAACACTAACAGTCTCAGAGAACAGCTACTCTCCTGTACCGTCAGGGAGTGGAAGGAGAGGAGGATGTCTGTGGCCAGGCTCCTCAGCTGTTAAGGGAAGTAGCCTTAAGTCTTCCCTGGAAATATTCTCATGCCTTAAGGAACACTACAAATTGCAGAGGAGAAAGAAACAACAGTGGCCCCAAGAGATCAATATGCAATAATCCTGGAAGGGGAGAGAAGGGTGACACCTGGCTGCCCCAGAAAGTTCAGAGACACAGGGCAGTGAGAAGGATGCAGCTTTGCCCAGACTCCCCTTACTCTCCCCTCGGCTAAGCCCCCTGCCTCACTGCATTTGTCAGGCAGCCTCAGACATCTCTGTCAGCCTTACCTAGGCCTTGGAGTGCCCAAAGGGGACACAAGAGGCTCCTGAGGATGGGGCAAGGAGAATGGTTCCCCAGAGAGCCGGGCTTCTGGGCTGGGGAGGGGGAGGATGGAGTGCCAGAGTCAGGGCTTGGGGGGGGTTCCCCACTCGGAACACTGCCTCCAACGTCACACACACCTACACATACAGAGTCACAGGCCTCTACCTAGTTGCACTTTAGCCCTTTAATGTCAATCACAGCTGGTTAAATGGCTGCTGAGCCTCTTGACTACGTGCCTGCCTGCCTGCGTGCGTGCACATCTCTCCTTCCTTTCTGCTCTCCAACCAGTCTCTTCTGCAAGGCAATGAGTGCATCCTGAGTTCTGGGATGGTTCTGTCCCACTGCACACACCCGTGACCAGGGCAAGAGTCCTGGCCTTTGGGAACCTACAAGTTTTTTCCTATTCTTCCTTCCAATTATGCATGTGTATGGAGGGAATGAGTAGGGGGCGTGTGATTGCCCCAAGTAGGGAAAGCAGAGAAAGCAGAAAGATGGTGGCTCCCTCACCTTGCTCCTCCCTTCCTAGAGGGCCCCACCCCCCTTCACCCCTGACCCTGGTCATCACCTTCTTTTGACTTGTGTCTTCCTCAGGTGCCTTCCTTTTTTCCCCTTTCCTCTCCTCCACTTTCCCAGGGGACGGTCTCATGGTTGGTTTGTTACCTGTAAGAGAGAGAGTGGGGAGGGTCACAGACAGGCTGGGTGAGGCCGGAAGGAGTCCCAGAGTTCTCATGTAGGGGTTCTTCCCCTTTTTTGCCCATTGGACCCCTTGGGCAGGCCAGTGAAGCCTACAGACTGTCTCGGAATCATGGAAAAACAATGCATAAAATAAAATA